GCCCGGGAGCTGCCACGTGGGGAAACACCGGCACCGGGAGCTGCCTCCCCTTCCCCGGACCTGCCGCCTCACGGAGGCCCGGCCGGGACACGCTGGGGCCGGAGGGGGGCTCGGGGTCCCCGTGGTGGCCGCGCTCACCTTGTTCTTCCCGGGTGCCTCCTGCTTGAAGACGGTGGAGAGCGTGATGGGCGGAACCACGGCCCAGGAACTCCACTGCTCGGGCTCCTGCCCGACGTGGATGGCATGGGTGGCGAAGCGCTCGAAGGGTGGAAGGAAGCCGGGGTAGTTCTCACCTGCCATGGTCGCGGCTCTGGGAGCGGCCCTCAGCCCGGCTGCATTTAGCGACACCGCGGGCTCGGCGGGGCGGGACTTTCGCGCCTCCTCATTGGCTGCGGCGCCGGCGGGGCGGGGCCCCCGCGCCCTCCCATTGGCTGCCGCTGGGGCGGGGCCCGCCCTGCACAGGCAGCGCCTGCCCGCTGGGGGGCGCCCCGCTCCGCGCGCTGTGGGGCCGCTCCCGGGCGCCTTCCCCGGATCCGGGGGCGCCTTTCCCGGGGAATAACCGGGAATAATCCCGCAGCACGCGGCTGATCCACAGGATGATACTGTTGAACGGGAAAGAAGCCAGCGTGTTCTGGGATGCTGGTGTTATTTTGTCTTCCCTATCGCCAGGTGATTCCCGCTCGGTAACCAGCAGGGTGGCATCTTGGGCTGGTGAAGGAGAGGGAGAGAGGAGAGCCTCTGCCCACAGCCATTAAATCTGGGAACCAGCTCTCCCTGCCATTCCAGACACTGCCCGTGGCCAGGCCGGCAGCAGCGTCAGCCTGGTGCTGCTCCCATCACAGCTCCTGTAAACATGCCAAAGCTGCCAATTAGGGGGGCACCCGCTCTACTAGGGGGGCACCCGCTCTACCCAAACCCGGCCTTACCACAGAGCGACGTGAAGCCACCAGAGATGCGGCCTTCAGTGCACAATTAGTCAGAGGTGGGGCAGCAGCCTTAAACCCTGGGGAAATCCCCAGCTGGGCACTGTTAATGCACAGTCCCATAAATCATGCCCAAGGGATGGCCTGGGTTTTCTCCCTGGCCATCCCAAACGCACAAGCCAGGCATGAGCGTCAGCCTATTAGTGCTCTTCAGAGCCTAATTGATGCAGCTCTCAAACAGGACAACAACAATCAGGGAGAAAATCCTCCAAACACACAGACATCAACAACAACAGGATCCCAGCAGGAACAGTAACCCTTTTCCTTCCCTAAGGCAGGAGTCAATAAAATCCAGATGGCATCTGGGCCTGCCAGTCCGGCAGCGAGGAGCTCATCAGCCTTGGGCTCCACTCGCTAGAGAAGCCACTGACAGGGGTGGGACAAAACACAGAATCAATGCACAGTGGAATTGTCCTTCCTTTCAACAGGTAACCTGTCCAGGCAATCCTCCCCCAAGGTCGGTTTTATTTTTCCTTTTCAGAAACTAATGCTGGGAACAATGCCAGCACATCTCCACTGAAGATGAAGTTCTCCTCACAGAAGAAATCAACAGCAGCATGAACCAGACTGGACATGAGCGTCATCAAGCCTGACCCACAGGAGGGACACCCTCCCTTTTCCTGTCTGTGGTGGTCACTGCTAACATCTGTACCCACACTGGAGCCTGAGTGCATTTCAAGGACCATTGCTAATGAAGGCAGTGATAATTGTACAAATCTAGGAATTCCACCTAATAATGAGAGTTTGGCAGAGGGAAAGTTCACTGTAACCTGTGAAACACAACCTCCAACCACTGAATTCACTCCCTCAATTTGCAACAGACCTCCCTGAAGGAATAGGGCACATCTTACAAGGAGCTGCTGTGTGAGCATTACACTGAAACAACCGATAGGGAATGCTCAGGGTGCAGCTCAAGCCATCTCCTCTTCCTCTCAGCTGTGGATACACCTCACTGCAGCAGCAGTTCTGAGGGAGGGTTGTGAAGGTGCACTGCCCACTGAAATCCCAGGCGTAACCTGGGACAAGTGGCAAACTTGCTGCATGCATTGTGTGAGAATAACTGGGATTTATTGGTGCAAGTAACACTATCAAGGCCCAAAACATTTGCCTCGACACTGAGCAGAAGGTAGATAATTTTGAAATCCATCAGATGAAATTCCTGAAACTGTGCTTATTATGCTGGAAAGGACCGTGTTTGCATGAGGACTCTGTGATCCCATACAGACTACACAACTACAGAATAAGCAATCACTTAAAGAGCTGTGTTTGTAACAAATAGGGGATGCAGCGTCAACAATTCCACTCCTGTCACAACCCCTGAATTACTGCAATCTACATACATATCCCATCAAGATTTACTGCTCACACCTCTTGGAATAAACTTGACAATGGTGAAAAAATTCCTGCAGCATGATCCATGCTGACTACTGGAACGTGTCTGAAGTGATTGACACAGAGCTGTAATCACTGTTCATCAGGAAACAGTACGAACACACTATGTCTCAGAAAGAGAGAGAGGAGATGGAGAACATCAGTGGTGGGACATTTTGTTCAGGTGGTCACTAACCACAAGAGGAATTCCAGATCTGATATTGCATCCTCTTTTAATTTCACTGATTTTTGTCTTATTCTGTTCCTTGTTAAATGTTGTCCTTATTGTTGGAATGTGGGTATCAGCAAACCTCCTTGCACATATAACATTGTTGCATCACATTCAAAGAAGCCACATAAATGTAACCTGATCAAAAATGTCCCTCACTTTATAATTGGAACATAATCAAATCTTCATTTAGAGGTACAGAGGCCAGAGGTGACCACACAGCAGAGCAGTAGTTGGCTTTGGTCACTGAGTGGATTGCAGGGCTGCATCCCCCTTTTCCAGGCCATACCATGATCTCAGAAATGCTTGTTAGGCCTCGATGAGGACCCCTTGTCTCAGCTCCTTTGGAGCTGATCACAAACACTGCCTGCTCCCAGGCCCTGCTGCTGCCCAACAAGCTCCTGGTTTCTTTAGGAGCAGCCCTGGAAACTGATTTTTTTTGTCCAGACAGCCCAACATCCCCATTCTCACACCTTCAATGGAAGTGCAGCCAGGATGAAACATTGCTGTGACTTAAAGCCCATCCCTTAAGCCCCAGACACAGCACTGGAAAAGGAGCCCCTTTGAGCTCTCCTGGGTCAGGGACTCCCTCTGACAGGGGCTTCTCCAAGCCAGGAACTCTCCTGTTGGCTGCATTTGGGGGAGCTCCAAAAAATGGTGCCTCCTCAAAGGCTGGCCAGCTGAGGAAGATGCCAAAACATCCAAAGTGAGCATTTCCCTGCCCTGCAGGGGAATTCTTCACAGGTACTGACTGTGCACACACGAGTGCCTGTGCTCTGGCAAAGCTGGCAGAAATGACACTCTCTGAGGGGTTTGAGTGCCTCTCTCACTAAGTTAGGCCTAGGAGCAAGGTTAAGTCCTGAGTTATAAGTGAAATGCTGCCTAGTGTTGTGAAAAACGAGGTTCACTCTCCTGGCAAAATGTAAAAGTTTAATAAAGGACAGTAGGAGACAAAAATAATAAAGCAAAGTTTAGCAGGCAGGTGCTCGGCGTTCAGCCAAGAGCACACCTGCTGTTTTGGAGACACCCTTTACATACTTTATTCTATTGCATCAGCTATATCATAAATATCATAATATAATAATTATCGACAAATATTAATAAATATAATAATATTTATGAATATTATATATTCACAAACAATTATACATATTTAAACTTTTCTCCAAACTAGTTTAAATGTTCCAATAGCTATTTAGCATGGCTCCTCTTTGGGACTGCCGTTTTAGAGCATGCACATTTCTTGGCTGTGGATTTAGTCCATTCTTATTTTCACCTCCAGTCTGGGGTTTGGTCTGTACTTTCTTCAGACAGTAGGTGCTGATAGTCAGCATAGCAGTAGCGGGGGTCTTCATCATACTTTCATTGGATGTTATCCCAACCAAGTAGGCAGTTCATTTACCACGAGCACAATTATATCAGCTATTTCACTACTACGCCTAAATTTAGTTAATACTAGAAGTAAAAACTATAGCAAAGTTACTTTAACGTTATACATATAATATCCATGTCAATATTTTGTGGAAAAACCCATATTATAATATGGATTTATAGCAGTGCTGTTCTCTGCAAAGTTGGACTTTGATTTCCTAAGGCTGGTTAAGAGCTGTTAAGTGTCATTCCTTTGCTCCATTGTTAGGGTCAAGCTGTAAGTAAGTCAAGTGTTGATCCTTTGTTAAATTGGTATGTTTAAGGTATAACTTAAGCACTACTGAGTCTGAGTGCTATGAAGCTCTTGGGCCGCATTCCCTTGGCCTCGCTGTCCTTTTGTCACAAACAAACATATCTCCATTAATTCAGTCAGGGCTCTCCCTGCCATTCCAGACACTGCCCGTGGCCAGGCCGGCAGCAGCGTCAGCCTGGTGCTGCTCCCATCACAGCTCCTGTAAACATGCCAAAGCTGCCAATTAGGGGGGCACCCGCTCTACCCAAACCCGGCCTTACCACAGAGCGACGTGAAGCCACCAGAGATGCGGCTTTTGCATCTGATCTCAATCAAGTTTCTGAGCTGATGGGTGAGAAGAGAATGACCTGAGAGCAGCAGCACGAACCAGCCCTTGTGCCCCAAACCTGCAGCAGCAGGAGAAACCCTGAGCTGTGCTGGGAGAACTGGGATCACATTCCCGGGGTGCCCACGGCTGCTCCCACACAGCTCCTGGCTCCAGAGCTCGCCAGGGAGAGCCCAGGCCGTGCCCAGCACACCCTGCACAGCCAGGGAGAGCAGCCCAACAGCAGCACGGGACAGCCCCAGGAACCCAGGCTGCAATTCCCAAAGGCAAAGCAAGAGAGGTTTGGTTTTCCGTGTCCTTGTCCACAGCCATGTCCAGTTCCAAGTTCCTTTTTGACCCCCAAGGTTTATTTAAACTGCAGGAAGGAAAGGGAGGGATCATTGGGCTCTGCCCCTCTGTCAGCCACACATTTTTATTTTTCTTCCCATAAATAAAAGTCACATTTTAACATTTGATTCTCTTAATGCTCTGTGCTGGCAAACAGAAATATGCATAGCTACTGCTGATAAGTTTCATATCATAGAAAAAACCTGGAAAACTTCACCAATAAAAACCCACACACACAAAAAAAGAAAACAGAGGAACAAACCTTTCCTGCCTGTACAGAACATACAGCACCTCCACAGCTGCTGCAGGTTCACTCTTCTCCATTGCCCTCCAAAACCTCCACGTCCCCTCCCACAACCCAAACTCCCCATTTCAAACACCTTTATCTGCCCAATTCTCTATCAGGGTGCAGGCTGACTTCGGCCAAAGGATGGAGGGACAGGACACAGGGAATGGCTTCCACTGCCAGAGGGCACGGTCAGATGGGAGATTGGGAAGGAATTCCTGGCTTGGAGCGAGCGTCTTGAGGATGATTTTACCGCAGTCACCAGCGTCCCCAGCCGGCTTTGGCCACAACTACACCAAAGGGGAAAGTGGTGCTTAACAGGTGGGAAAACTGTCATGGCTGGAGACTTTGTTTGTTGTCTGTTCTGTTTCATATATATATGCCAGTGCATATATATATATATATATAT